ATGTTGAAGTGACGGAGACTTCAAGACCTGCTCATAATTCTAGTCACCTGTTTTCCCTAAAAATAAAATAAGTATTTCGTTATATTTCGTATTAGTTTAAAAAAATGTGACAAAATAATGATTCAGTCATCTCTAAATAATAATCAGCTTGTTATCCGACCAACAAGTACAAAAAGAAGCTTGCTAAGATATAAAGCTTACGGCAAGTCTTTTAAAATTAACTCCATAAATAAAAATATTGCTATTTCAAACAGAATCAACCCGATTTAAACCACAAACCAAACCAACGGAGGGGTCTTACTAATTGATCCCTAGATAATCAGATCTAACCCCTCTAAATTTTTTTATGATGATGTGTAGAGAATTTACAGTCTGTTCGCTATACTTACGCGGGTTTCTGATTAAAAATTTTATGAGTATTTCCAGGTAAGTACCCGAAAGTTTGACCTGTTCTTTGGGGAAATATCAACTGGTTAAATGAAATGAAAAATAATGTACAACTTCTTAATTAAATAATAATGGAGAATCTTTTGTATAATTGAGAGCAGAATTAAACTTCTTCATTAATGAAGTCTAATGTGGCTATTATAAACCTAATAATAATTTTATATTACACTTCACACAGAAAATATGGTCTAAGTATAATAAGAGGGTTATTTAGCTCAAATAAAATATTTTCTAACATAAAATTTGTTCCATGTAGAGAATTTCAAATGAAAAATAAAAAAATTGAACTTGCCGACAAAAACGAAAATCAGTCATTATCATACAAAATATCATAATCGTCATCATCATCATCACTGTCATCACCATTAATTGCTATTATGATTGACTTCGTTTATTTTATTTTCACGTGTCCACCAATCTTCTATTAGTTTCTCGCACTTGGATATACAGTTCCACCACACTTCTGGAGTTGCAGTTGAAAGTGCTTTTCGTCAAGTTTCCGAACTGCGTCGTCACTATTACCATTAGGCCCAATATAGTTGTCATAATATTGTTTTGCTATTCCCCATAAACACCGTGTCCCACGTAAGGCGGGCATTACAACTTTATGGAGAATAAATTAATTTGTATTTTCGCCATTTTCTGAGTATACATAATCGAATATGCTCTTTTGAATTAAAATAAAATGAACTCTGTGCAACTTCCGGTTATACCGGAAGTGACCACTAACTTCGTTATTTTATAGGGAATACCCCATGTTTTTTTTTAATTTTAGATTCAGCATAAAATTCTGTAAACAACGATACCCCATTTGCCTATTCTAGTTAAAGCGGATTTGGCGTTATTCAATTTTTTTCTACATTTTTAGTCGCCGGTAGACATTTTCTTAAAGTCGTCTATCTCAGGTACTATATCTATCAGATACTTAAGATTTTAACCAGAGGTAGTAGATGGGATGTACTTCTTGAGAATATTTAGTTGTTCATTATTTGTTGTACGGGGTGTTTGCAAATTATTTTTAAAAATGAAATTTTTTAAACATAAAAAACTTTTTTATTTTAAAGGGAACACCCTATATATTTTTTAAATTTAGGATTCAGCATGAAATTCTGTAAACAATGATACCATATTTGCCTATTCTAATTATAGCGGATTTGGCGTTATTCATTTTTTTTTAATTTTTAGTCGTCGCGCCGGTAGGAATTTTCTTAAAGTCGACTGTCTCAGGTACTATTTCTGTTGGATACTTAAAATTTTAGCCAGAAGTAGTAGATGGGATGTACTTTTAAAAACATTTACAGTTTTCTGCAACAAAATATGTCGTTTAAAAAGTTTAAATTTTTTTAATGATAAGGTACATACTAACTAAAAACAATTTTTATTAAAAGCACATGGTTTAAAAAAATCATTTTATCAAATGTTCAAAATGCCCCCCGTTAGCTTCTAAACATTTTAACAATCTTTTTTCAACATGATTAGTTGTTGCTTTACGAATCATTTCACCATCTAACTCGTTAAAGGCATTCCGAACTCTTTGCTCTAATTCTTCTTTAGTATTAATTTGGGTAGAGTACACTAAATTTTTAATATGACCCCATAAAAAAAATCAACAGGAGTTAGATCTGGCGATCTTGCAGGCTAAAGCCAAGGACCATTTGGACCTATCCATCGGTCTTCAAAGAGTGCTGTAATTTCTTGATTTACATAGTATGTTGAATGTGCTGGGGCACCATCCAACTGGTACCAAAAATTATTATTTGGTAGCTGGTTTAAGATGTCGGCAACTACTTCTCTAAGAATTCTAATGTATCTTTCTGAGGTCAGTCTTTCATTATAAATGTAATAAAAAGCTCTTCCAAAACCGATCACTGCAAACACATTAAAGCTAAATTCGTACTGAAATTGTGCTTCACGATAAAAATGTGGATTTTCGTTTGCCCAGAAATGACATTGCTTGCGATTGATGATCCCTTTACGTGTAAATTTCGACTCGTCTGACCACAAAATTTTGTTTAAAATCTCGGGATCTTCGTACCAATAACCATTCGCATAATTCAGTTCGTCTTATTTGATCACCATCTCGCAACTCATGAACTTTTCTTTCTGCATAGGGATGCTATTTATTTAGTGCTAAAATTCGTTGTATTGACCCTCGACTAATGTTTAAATTATCTTGAGCCATTCTAATGGAGGCGTGAGGATACGCAGTAAAATACCCTAATACGTTAATTAGATTAACTTCTTCATCTCGGACATAATGTTGACGGTTTCTTCCCGGGTTTTGTTTAAAATTATTCAAAAAGTTAGCTACGATTCTATCAAATTTCTGTCTGTTCATTGGTGGTAAATGAGGGTATCGTTCATTAAACATGCGGCAGGTTCTACTTTTGATTCGATTACAATCTCCATGAATGTAAAATAAATTAAGAATATCTTGGTTGGTATATTCTTCAATATTTTCCATATTTTGAACGCAAAAAATACACAACTTAAATACATAGAAATATGACAATTCAGTTTGTTGACAGATTGTTGTTTAGCATATTTCCCCGGCATACTAAGATAAAAAAATTAAAATGTAAAACTATACTACATTATGTAGGTGCATGCGTAAAATTTAAATTTAAATTTTCTTAAAATTGGCGAGAGATAATTATAGGGAATTAATAGTGCAAATGAAGATCAATGAAGAATAATTTTCTGAACAAAATGAAATAAAAATATACAGGATTTTCCATTTAAAATAAAAAAAATTTTCATGTTTAAAATATTTATTTTTTAAAATAATTTCCAAACACACAGTCGAACAAACGATGTACAAGTAAATTTAAAAAAGCAAATGTCTGCCGGCATATAAAAGTTTATAAAAAACTGAATAACGCCAAATACACTATAATTAGAATAGGCGAATGGGGTATCATTGTTTACAGAATTTCATGCTGAATCTAAAATTTAAAAAATATATAGGGTGTTCAATTTAAAATAAAAAAGTTTTTTATGTTTAAAAAATTTCATTTTTAAAAATAATTTGCAAACAACAAATAATGAATAACTAAATATTCTCAAGAAGTACATCCCATCTACTACCTCTGGTTAAAATTTTAAGTATCTGATAGATATAGTACCTGAGATAGACGACTTTAAGAAAATGTCTACCGGCGACTAAAAATGTAGAAAAAAATTGAATAACGCCAAATCCGCTATAACTAGAATAGGCAAATGGGGTATCGTTGTTTACAGAATTTCATGCTGAATCTAAAATTAAAAAAAAATATGGGGTATTCCCTTTAAAATAACGAAGTTAGTGGTCACTTCCAGTATAATCGGAAGTTGCACAGAGTTCATTTTATTTTAATTCAAAAGAGCATATTCGATTATGTATACTCAGAAAATGGCGAAAATACAAATTAATTTATTCTCCATAAAGTTGTAATGCCCGCCTTACGTGGGACACGGATATTCGAAGGGATTAAACTGGCAATGATACGGTGGCAGGCGTAAAACTTGATGACCGTAACTTTCAATAATCTGATCCACAACAAAGGTTTTTGGTTTTGCGTGTATATTTGCCAAGCGTAATAATTCTGATTTTAATATATATTGAGGAAATGGTATATGTTCCTTTGTCAACCATTCTATTTTTCTATCTATTAATTCCGAGAGAATTGTATTTAAGGTCACATGTTCCTTGTTGGCCCTCATTCGATAAATGGTATCACGAATTTCAAATTTCTTTCCATCTGGAATATCTTTCGTTTTCAATGATGAGGGAGTTTTGCGGTGATCTTCTTTCGGCAGTTCACTGTTGTGATTTTGTTAATACTCCTCTTAATTTGGTTTCACTAATTCCTAGAGCATCGCATACGCGTTGTTGTACAGACATTACCGATTTTAAAGGACCGCCATTTTCTTTTTCATCCGTAAAATACTTATGTACACTACAAATTAGACTATCTACATCTAATACACGTCTAGGCATTTTTAAAATTTCCACTAAATTTACAATATACATACAATATCAACACTTGCAAAGAATCAATTCAACTGCAATATTTGTAACAAATTTAGTACCTACCCTAATGTTATTTTAATTTAAATCTGACCATTAGGGCAATTTTACCTAATTTCTTGGGAAGAGGCTTATTGGAACTGGTTGTCAATGACTAATTTGCATAATTTTGTTAATCCGAAACCCGCGTAAGTATAGCGAACAGACTGTAGTTTACAAATACAACATCAAAGTCAAATAAAAATGATGGTCGCTAAATTCTTCTATACGGTATTGACAAATGTCTACGACTAATTATCACTCTCACGCGCTAAAGAGGCGTTCATTTTTGAGTAAACAAGTGAAAATTTGCTTTCTGCGACTGTTAGCATTTATGATACCCCTGTAATTATCTCTAATGGTACGAACTTTATTAACCAAACTGTTTTCCTTGCAATTATTCATGGTTTTTAAAGCTGATTTAAAACAAATGGCTATTTCATTGTACTCGTTTGATTAATAAGTATTGTTATAAATCCATTTTCTTGAATTTATTAAATGTTAAAGCGTTTAAAAAAATTAAGTACTTATTCCAATAATTTTAAAACATAATTAAAAAATCCATTGTTTTCTTACGTCTACTTTAAAATGTACGTTTTAACATTAATATCGTTTGGTTGCTTCTTGCTATTATCACCAATTATTATAGCAAAAGCAGAGCATCCACCATTTTCCGTAAGTATATATTACAAATGATAATAAATTTTTAAATGATACGAACTTGCATACTGTGGACAGTGGCGTAGCTACCAGGGCATCTGGAGCAGCAACTGCTACCTGGCGCGGCGCCAGCAAGATTTAGGCACCATCACTCCTTTAGAATTACACAACATAGCGTCTTTTTTTGCTATAACTTCTTCATTTTCTAAAACACAAAATACCCTCATACATTAATTATATTTATTCATCAATGATATGTATTGTCTATGCGCACAACTAAAACTCGTAATTCGTCAATAATCCAATGCCGTCTGCTGCTCCCTAAATGTTTTACGTTTACGGCTGATTAAGTATGTTGGTATATTTCTTAGAGGTTATTAAAAATATACCTTATAATTATTGGGTTTGATTGTCCCCCGATCGGCGCGACTTTTGGGTCTGATACCCAGCCCCACTCAACCTAGCTACGTCACCGGTGACTGTGGACTAATAATTGATAACACAAACACCGTTTTTTTTTAATGCGAACTATTTAGAAGTTTGTTTTACTTTAGCTTCAGGCACTCGTAAATGAGCAAATTATGGAGGCGTCTAGTACGATACTTATATACCTATTTAATTATTAATTTAAAGAATTGAAAAAGTTGAAGTATTTTCACTGCCAGCGAACATCATACAAAAGCGGAAAAAGCGTTACTGGATAATAAACGATATTTTTCTTTATAACCCTTTGAAAACTTAAAAATATAACAATTATATTATGGTTAAGCAATATCAATATAACGCACAAAACAAAAACATGCATATCGCCGGACACCTTGCTATAAAATATGTAACAAAATAATTTATTTTTCGTCAGGCAGCTGCTTGAACTTAGCTCTATGATTGGTCGTCTCAAGAACTACATATTAAAATTAAACGAATGACAGCGGTCAGCGGCAACGTTAAGGCGGGAGCTGAAAAGTGACCAAATCACAACTGAGAACCGTTACATATCTTGGAAACCAACCACGTTCAATTACTGTTTAATAAAGTATTTTACTCAAAACTATTTTCTCTAAATCTACGGGTTTCCGCTAACGAAAGTCATGTCAAAGCGGTCGAAGCGTTGAATGGATATAAACCATTGATGCCAAGTCGTATTAAACTTCTGACATTATGTCTGCATAAAAAGAAATAGGTATGATTGACAGGAAATTTTAAAAATAATGCAAATATTATTTCAGAATTAAGGGTAAATAGTTCAAAGAACGAACAGCTACAATTTCAAAAACAAAATAATAAATAATAAAGGGATTGATTAGGGAATACTACTGTTTTTGTCCATAGGTAATTTTTTATTGGAAAACATAAGTTTTGTAAAGACTGACTTTATTATTTTCCAAACATACGATCTACAAAAATTCAAAAAAGTATTCAGTGCGATATAAGCAAACCACTCGAATTGTATAGTATTGTATAGTATATTTATTTTCTACGAATTACTAAAGAAAATCTACAACGTCTTAAAAAGTAATTTAGAGGTTATTAACATAAAATTACTATTTTAAAAATAATTAACACAAAGATTTGAATTTCTGGATTGTATCAAATTATAAAATAAAATTGAAAAAAAAAAAAAAATAATTTGCTTGAACCTCGGACCTTTCGTACGAAAACGCATGCCTTAAACTTTCGCAATAAATTATCCTTTATTTCTCTTTAACACTTAAATAATTGGTTTAGGTTATTTTGTTACAATTTTACCCACATTTTTGGTTTCTTTAGCTATTAACGATGAATATCTAATGGACTGTTATTATTTATCGATTCGTTATAAGAATCACTTATTTTTAATTATATTTTATCCTAATAAAAATAATAAGATAATTAGTTTGACAAAAGTGTCACTAATTTAAAACAACTCAAAAAAAATCGGTAATCTGTGGTATATGAAGACAAAGTTTGAGCTCAATTGTGAAGTAAATTTTTTCTACGACCCACAAACGAAAACCTACAAAATTTTTAAATTAATTTCAAGGTTAAGATAAAATAAATATTTTAAAAATATATTAATTAGTCCTCGTCCTGGATTTGAACCTTGGACCTTTCGCATGAAAATTCACTACTCTATCTTTGCAACAACTTTTTTTTAATACTGATAATTAGATTGGTTTAGTGTCAATAAAATTTACGATTTATTTGTAAATATAGACGAATATCTTGTGAAATGCTATTATCGATTCTTCACAAAAACACACATTTTAAATTTTATTTATTCTCAATAACTAAAAAATATAGTGATAATTAGTTTGGCAGAATTGTCACTTTAAAATTTAAAAAAATAATAATATTCCTGTGAATATTAAATTTTATATTCATTCAGTAGAATGTAATGGCCTATTTTTAGGTTCTGTAGTCTGTACTTAGAATATATGTATAATATCCGTGTGGGTGTGGAATATTTAGTTTGCGGGCTACTAAACATTTTGTGGTTTTAATAATAATAATACTTTTCATAATTCACCCCCTCACGAGTAAATTTTAACCCCAAAAGCTGTGCTTGTCCGGGGAAGGGACGGCTATTATTATTATTTACTGTTGCGCTCCGGGGCGACTTAAAGATGATTGATGGTGCCATTTGACTTACACCATCTTCGCAACGATAAAGTATGGCGATTTTTATATTCTGGATATCATATCAACAGAAATTTCTGCTGATACGGCATCCATCAAATCCTATATATATATATATATATATATATATATATATATAGAACCATGCAAATAAATTCACATGGTCTTCTGTAGGATTGAAAGCTGTATCTGAACTACGAAATTGCTCGCAAATCGAGCCGATACACATTATACACATTATAGAATAGATATAACGTTTTATTCGTTTAATAGACTGATATAAAGTTACATATTCATTTTATAGATTCTGTAAAAAATAATTATGAATACATTTTTTTCTACACCCACATGGGTATTAGCTTATCTACGCAAAGGCTACAAAATGAAAAAGTATGCCATTGCGTTCAACTTAACGAATATATTTCATATCCATTTTACTCAGTACGAACACTACAAAAACATTAAATTCACCAATCACAGTTTATATTTTGGCCAATCGGCTACTATTATTTTTTAAATTTTATATGAGTGACAATTCTGTCAAACTAATTGTCAGTATATTTTTAAGTTATTAAGATTAAATATACGTAAAAATGAGTTATTATTGTGTAGAATTGATAAATAAAAGCATTTCTTTTTATTTTGTCTACATTTACACATAAATCTTAAATTTTAATCAGACTACCTGTATAAAACTAATTTAATTAAGAGTATTAAAACTAAAATCGTAAATGTGGCGAGGGAGGTGAGGACATGGCGTTTGTCTTCCACGCGAGAGATGTGCGTTCAAATCTGAGCTGAGGACTAAACAAATTAAATCTTTTTTTTATGTTTGTTTTATTTTATAAATTAGTTAAAGTCATAAATTATTTTACAATTAGTTATTTTGGCTTAAAAATCAAAAATAATTTTTAAATTTGTAGATTTTCGTTAGTGGGTCGTAAAAAAAATATACTGTACAACTCGAGTGGATTGTCCATATCAACTCTTGTTGCTCAAACTACCAAACTCGTTTTACTTTGGCTTTCGCATCGTTATTATACCGTCTCGATAACTAATGCATCTAGAGAATCTGGTTTGTGGATAAGGCGTTGACTTTTCAAACCAGAAGTCGTATGGATTCAGCTTTCGGTGTAATCATTTTTATATTTTTTCGACTACCATATGTGAAAATGAATCATATCAACCCTAAAAATATGATAGTTTTTCACTAGATATCTAGATACCTTTGACTGTCACTTGCGTACTTTGACGTTTCACATAAATTTTGATTAAACGTTAGTGATTAGTGAACATGAATAGTCAAGGCATAATTAATATTAATTAATAAATAAATTCGCACATTTTACTACTTAAATTTCTTGTATTTGTAAAATTAAAGATTTTTGTTATATTTTCCTTCTCTTTGTTTTTTTTTTTTGGTAGGCGAAAAACAATTGTGTGTCACACATGCAGAAAACGCTTTAGCAGCCCTTAGCTATCAGCTGCCTCGCTTCGCTTCGCTCGCTCATGCAGCTAATAGCCGTGGGCTGCTAAAGCTCATGTTATGCACTTGTGACACAATATACTATTATTCCAGTTTTTCTTAGTTTTACATTCACATTTGTCTGATGTTCACAAACTGTCTTGTATTCACATTTGTCAATAAATTATAAAAGAAAAAAATACCTATGTACTTGTTAAGTTAAATCTGTGTTACGCTAAAACCTTTTCTAAAAAATTTAATTTAGTTTTTCTGAACACAAAAAAAATTAAAATTGTCAAAATAATCGTAGCTTTGCTAATTTTTTAACTAAATAAAATTTGGGCGTCGTTAATATACAATATACATGCATTTGTTGTTCGATCAAACGTTCGTTTGGGCACGTATCCGGATTAAATGTTCATTATGGCACGATACTCGTATGAACATCCGTCAACATTTTATTCGCTTGAGTCGCCCACGTCTTTGATGTTACCGCTACGATTCCGCTAGTCGGCAAACGCCAGCGAACCCTCGTTGGTATTCGTTAAACTGTCTATGCCGCGCCAACGAAACTCCTTTGTTGGCATTCGTTGACACGGTCTTTAGGCAGCTTAATACTGATTTAGGCATTCAAAACTTGCTTGTTGGTGGTATGTGACATACGATGTATTCTATCTACAATACGTAAAATCATGAATAAGGTTATAAATTTAAATATTTTATGTTGAACACAATAAAAATAATATTAAAAAAAGTACTTATACATTTTTCATAAATTGACAGGCTTGGCGACTACTATTTCGAGTAAAAATAGCGTCCAAGATGGAAGAAAGACTATGTCGCAACCCCCTTAGATATAAGAGCCCTGCTCACTAGCAACCACATAATCAAAGTATGTGCTAGCAACTATTGTTTGACAGGCCGTAAGTAAATTCTTCTTTTAAAGCCATTTATGCAGTGTGTTATCTATTTCAAGAAAATATGACGTCAGTAATATTTTTTTAAATGGAACAATTGAAATTTTATATTAAAAAAATTAGTCCCTTTAAATGCAAAACTTAATTGATAATAATTCTAATTTTTCTCTAATAGTTTTTAAGAAAATTATACCAAATGGCTTTACAGCTACATTTATGCCATCTATGCCATTTATGCAGTGTGTTATCTATTTAACAAAACTACGACGTCATTAATATATTTTTTAAATGGATCAAATGATCAAATACATCCTAATTATTAATAATTCTATTTTTTCTCGAACAGTTGAGAAAAATAATACCAAATGACTTTACAGCTTCATGAAATAAAACAAGAAAACCTAAAATACGTTGTAGTCACAAATACATACAGAGTGCAAAGTTATTTGTCAATGTTGCCATTATTTTAATTACAGGTACTCTTGAATAGGTACAGATTTCATCTTCCGAATAGAATGTTTAAAATCCTTGATGGGAACAAGTCGACTGGCTCTATAAACGAATGCGTGAACTAAAACCGTCGGTAAAGAAGGTAGACAATGGTATCTGTATCTGTAATGTGTGGAGGGTGGGTTACCCCACGGCACTTAGGCCTCATTAGGTCCATTGTGCATTCTCCTGAGAATATAGGCACCTCCTAGCTCGTGAGCCAGCCTGCAGATTTAATGTAGTTGACAACGTCGCCAAGAGGCGTTTCTCTTATATCGGCGGGTGCTAACCGATACTCGTCAAACACAAATCTTCTAATAAATGAGAGCGCCGAGCAATCGTTAAGGATATGCTCGATGGTCTCATCTTCTTGTTCGCACCCTCTGCGAAGTGCGGATTTTGACAGCCCCATGATATAGAGATGCTTTCATACTTGGCAATGACCAGTCAGAATGCCTGTGACTAGGCGCAGATTCTGTCTAGTCATAGTCAAGTATTTGTTTGCTGCAGTGTTGTCAGGATAACTTAAGAGCTCCCTGGCAACTCTGCAGTTTCTAGTTTCATCCCATATTTCCTTGAATTTCACAAGGGAATGTTCTTTTATTAGGCCTGTCACTACCGATTTTGTCAGGCCAATAGAAGGGCCAGGTCCAAAAAGTATTTGGTTGGCTGCTTTCTTGGCTAGTGAATCAGCAAGACGGTTACCTTTCGATGTGGCGTGACCTTCAATCCATCTTAAGGTGACCACGTTGTTGACGGATACTTCGGCCAAAGCTTCGTGACATTCTTTGTCCCTTTTGAATAAATATGTTTATGAATAAATAATAACCAACCACAATAAATATAAAAACATGTATTTTAACAAAAAACTTAAATACATATTTGGCAATATTGAAAACAACACACAAAATGCAAACAAATTCTTTGGGGAAATTTTAAAAATATAAGAAACAGTTAAACTAATGCAACGTTAAATCGCTTAAATCTGTAGAAAAGTCCTTAAATCTTGCAGAACTACCTTGCAATAGCTTGAAAAGTTTCCTAACAATGTCGGTTTTATTTACATAAAACTCTGTCTCTGTCTCTGAAAAGCGCATTGTGTTAGGTGCCCTAAAAAATTCCATGGCAGCCATCATCTTCTGTTGCAGTTATCCGAATTACGCAGAGTCGGAATGAGTCTTTCGTTTTTCCATAAACTTTTACTACATCGAAGTTCCCTACGTTTAGCCCAGATGACCCACTATTTAATTCGAAATCACTTTCGGAGTAATTCATATCGCTGCTAATATTATAAAGCGACATTCTTTCTTCTTCAAAAACATTTCTCACCGTTGTTTTATTTCTTCTAATGGCTTCCTTTCTTTTTTTCATTTCGATTTTTCTTCGTTTCTCCTGTTCCAGTATTTCCAGTTATTCCTTATTTATTAGGTATTGAGGTAAGGAGAGTAGATTTCAATCCTTTTCTTGTTCGTTTTCTCTTTTTAGTAAGTAATGGCAGCGAAACGATATCTGACGGTATTGTTACAGAAAACTGTTTTTTTGAAAAACCAGGTTTTTGGGGATCGTCTTCTTGCACACATCTGGCCTTTGAAGATATCGGAGCGTTTGAAACATCATCTTCATCTAGGAATTTCTCAGCATTACCAAAATGTTCTGCTTCGTTATCGCTTTAAGGTTGTACTTCTTGTTTAAATACAATTTCTCTGTGCATGTCTTCATCATTAATATCTACATCATCTTCTATTTCTCTTTCCTGGTCTGTTATCGACGCAGGTAGAAAATCTTTCTCGGTAAAAATATTTTCGTTTATATGCCAGTCGTCTTAAATCCGTTAACAGCTTTTTCGATAGTATCTGTTTTTTTTGTAGGCTTGCTTGAATAATCCAGCGACATGGTATTCTGTCACTACTTGTCCAGGGTTTGATGTAGTTTAGTTATCACACAAATCATCATAATAAGCTTTAAGTGGTCTAAAAGAAAATCGATCCAATGGCTGTGTGCGGTGGTTGCTATGTGGTGGAAGACTAAGCAAATGTATATTGTTCCTTTTTGCGTATGCAATACCTTCCAGACTGGTATGAGAAATGTGATTATCCAATATAAGCAGAACAGGACTATCAGTTGAACGATTCGTATGCTTGCGAAAGTGCTCCAAATAATCGAGAAATTTTAGTGAAATCATGTAGCCAGAATCTGTTACAGCTAAGGCAGAACCAGTTGGAGTAGCCTTTATGAATAAAGGATTTACTCTTTTGCGTGCAAAAATAAAGAACGGGTGTACATATTGTCACGTAGCACTCATAGAACATGCAACTGTCACAGTTTTTACCGGCTCAGCAGCCACATTTTTAGCTACTTCTCTTTTTCCAGTGGCAACTGCATGTTTAGGTAATTTATTTGGGACGGTCTGAAAACCACTTTCATCCATATTACAGATTTTGTTAGGAGGAAATTTATATTTGTCAAGGACATTTTTTAAATTTAAAAAATATTGTGATAACTGGTTAACCTCATTGTCTTAGCTACACTGGTTTTTCTAGGAGTACGAGGTGAAAGACTATTTCGTTCCATAAATTATCTTGTCCAATCTCTTCCCGCCAATTTTACCTTGGAAAATGGATGTGAGATACCATTTCTCTCAGCAAATTCAAATGCGAGAAAATGGAGCTATTTAAAGAAAGTCCGTAAAAGCGCAAATCTAATGCTTTACAATGATCTACTATTTGTTTTTCCTGTTCTTCATTAAATACGGTCCAAAACCGTCCCAAGGAATTTACTCCGCTACCAACCTTAAGCCATTTTCAAATAGTTGATTCATCGTACCCAAGTGTCCGTCCTATTTCCCTAATTGATATGTCTCTCTCACGCAATTTGCCTAACTTGCCTTAAAAGATCATCAGTTAATGGCTTCAGGCTTGCTTTTTTTCTCTTATAGGTCCTGAACAAATGAATTGGTCATTCTGGACACAAGAGAAAATATTTTTCCAAAATTCACCGCCAGAGGGGTAAGAATCCGCACAAAAGTCCGCAGCGGATCTTTGCCCTATCAGAAATGCGGATTTTTACTCCAAACTGTCTTTTTAGATTTAGTAATCCTCAATTAGAAAAACATGAACCTCCGCAAATAATTTTTTTGTGAAATCTGTTCTCTGAAATCCATGCTTTTTACCAGAATTAAAAAAAATTGGTATCAAATAGCCTAGAGACAAATAACATTTCTGACAACATTTGTGAAAATAAGATTAAACCACCAAAATATAAAACTTACCTTATAGTTACAACAAACAAAACAGCGTACAAAGCACGTGTCTGAACTGCAGGTTATTCTGCGATGCACTGAACCAATCATACCATAATGAGTGTAATATATCCACTGATTTCCCCGCTCTTCGCGTGTGGACTTTTACCCCGTGCGGACTTTTGCCCCCGACTACCCTATACCTTTCTGACATCTAAAATGTTCTGTTTTACCTACCTTAAACTAACTTCCTGGTATATAAAAGAATAAAAAAACGATCAATGATGTGTGTTTTGTTTAATTATTAAATGGTATGTTTCCTTGATATATTAACGAACCCCTTACTTTAACTAAATTGGTATACCTGTATACTGACTTAAGCTAGCTAGTTTTTTGCAATAACTCGCAAAATGATCAAAAGAAAGGTAACAATCAGTATACAAATCCCGCTAACATAGCAGAATAGAAACCCCTACTACCACTGGTATGTGAAATCAAATCGAATTGATTTTACTATGTTAGGTGATCAGTAGTTGTTAGTCGTTGGCACTAGCCGTCTTAGCAATACTTTATATATAATCATTATTTGAAAACTAAAATGTTATGTTGCAGGAATTTTTTTCAACAGAAGAGAACACTAGAATGAAATTATTCAAAGATATGATGTTGGTAAATTGGGATTATGCAACTTTCCAAGACTGTGTCACGTCATCTAACGTAAACCAGCACATTCTAGAATACGGCATTATTAATTTTTATGTTCCAGATGATCCAACTCTTAAAGATTTTTTAATGTGTTATGGTCGCAAAAGGGATATACTTAATGACGACGGAAGCATAAACTATCAGGTGTTATTCAACTTTTTGAGCGCTTTTGACTGTGGCAATGAAAGGGAAACTCGTAAGACAATAGGAATGTGCAGACAAAAAGTAGGAATAACCGGGCCGGATATTGTATATCAGACTTTAAAATGCATCACGATCAGATTTCGAAGATTTATTCACAAACCAAAATGGTGGTTAGTTTACGATACCTATTATGGTTACTCTTACTATTCAAATTAATGACTGTTCTTTATTTATTTTTTAATTAATTTATTTACGCATTACAAAATAAAAATAAAAGATATTGCTATACGTGTGTCTTTTTATCCAACTGTTACAGCAATCTTGACATCGGTGCGGTATCTACCTGTCTTTTTTTTTTTCATGAATCTATCAATGATGAACTAACAGCGTCTTTTTATCCAACGTTGCTGCAATCGATGCAACACCATTCTATCAGTTCAATGTATGGTTTTTCCCATTAGATGTGACAACTGACAGCTGGATTGCGGGAATAAAGCAGAATTAAAGAGTTAATTCATTATTTAATTATTCTATTGTGGGAAAAATCGAAAAAATGGGCCTTTAAAAATACATACTTACAAATTAAGGTAAATAGGTACATTCAAACAAAATTATAAACACACATTTTAATCCTAAATGTTAACTGTTATTTATTTCAACGATCAACCATAAACAAACTGAATCCAATACAAGGCGTTGAAGGTCGCATCAGTGAAACAGCGATTCCAACAAAGCGATAGAAAAAAAGACACACGTTATTTACCATTAGACGCAGGACTACGGTATTAACTATTATAGTCCATTTAGCATATTCTGACGTTAATTTAATTTCTTTTAATAATTCCGTTTCATTTATAATATTATTATAACAGCTAATAAGAAAAGAATAAAAGGTAAATTGTACAACGAAAAATTGTAGGATTTATTTCCTGGGACATTTTTTAAATTTACACTTTTTCTGGGTACATCTTATAAATATTCCATTTTTGAATTCTTCTGCTCTTGTATAATTTGGAAATATCACCTATTTCACTCATTTTGTGAACAAATGTTGTTTTTTTTTTAATTCCACATAGATAAATAGTTTGATCTTATATCGCTCTAACTGAATATAAGGGTCCACCATTTGCTTTCTCTCGTTTGAAATATTTTTTGACGTCATAAATAATTGGTGTTATTCTTGAGTTCTGTTTTTATTGTTTGACTCATAGTTTCTACTTTAACACACTTTAATAAACAAAATATTAAATATTCTTGCAGCCTACGCAATATATTTCATATAAATAATGATGATTATTACTAATATATTGACGTACTGTATAATGTAAGTCGTAACAAAAGCTTTATATATCTCGAACTATTCAATTAGAGAATGAATTAATCATATACGTAGAAATATGGAACACCCAGTATCAAAAAATAAAAAAAAAATATCCAAGACTCTTAAAAGGGGTGGTTCCGCTGTAAAAATTTACAAAACAAAATTGAAAACCAAATTAAAGTGAAAAAAAAAAAAAAATAAAATTTCTGAATATTTCTTCTTTGTCCCTCTGCCCACTGGTATTTTCCCTTATTCCCCGACTTGGTAATTTCTTCTTTCTTTTATCTGATTCATCGTATCCTAATCCTGTCTTTGCTTTTCAGCTCAGCTCCTACCTACTATATATACCCTTTGTCTTTTTCAATTTACTTACACCTCTCTCAAATTCTTTTCTTTATTTTTGACAAGGGGGGTAGCCATGTGTGAGTTGAGGTAATTTTAAGGTGAAGGGGGAGAAAAAGTCCTTTATATCTCACAAGGAAAGTCAATGTTTAATTATTTAACAAAACATTGAGTGCTACTCAATGTTTTGTTAAATAATTAAACATTGACTTTCCTTGTGAGATATAAAGGACTTTTTCTCCCCCTTCACCTTAAAATATTTTCTTTATTTTAACTTTTCAACTCAATAACCATTAATACATACAATTTCCATCTAACTTTTCTAAATCTTCCCCAACAATCAATATTTTCCACTTTACATTTCTTAAAAATTCCTTTTTTACGATCTCATGACAATGGGACATGTTCAAAAATGTTAGGATTTTTTATGAATAATACAGTTAAAAACAAAGCTTCTTTTATTTTTATACTAAAAGTAATATATGTTCGTTTGTGTCCGCCTTCTTACTTTTAGACTTCTAAAATATCGTTAAACAAATATCTTTTGAATATATAATATCAAATGTTTTTAAAAGTATTAGGTATTTATGTTTAAATTTTCACCATTTTTTATAGTTTCACTGTTTTAAAAAACGTCACATAATAAACAAGAAAATGTCAATGTGACAGCACTGTGTGTATCATCTGTCAATACTGTCAATTAAAAATTTGTGTGTTTTGTCAATCAATAATATATTTTTATTTTGAATTTGAAAAAATTTGTACGTTTTTATAAATATTGTTACGCAGCACCCTGCAGTAGCCTGTACAAATACCAAGAGAAGTGCAATGTTACCCATCGCCCTACACTGTGCTGCGATCGTCATAAGTAAAAGTATGAGTAAAAGAAGATAGAATAGTCCAGAAATGTCTGGAAATGTCATTACTTGTCAAGAAAAATCGAGACGATAGTTCGAGAAGGTTCGAGAAGGGTAAAACAAGCTATATAAGTAGATGATCCTGACTTCAGTAGTCAGTTTTATGATAGACATTATATATTAATGTTATAAGCTGTACCTATTATTATTGTAAAAGTCGAGTTGAAATAAATTGAGGTACCAAAAACCTGCGTAACAATATTATGAGTACAAAGAAGTATTTTCTCCCAAGATGTAATAATGATTCACTAATGGTTCACATTTATTATTAAAAATATTTAGTAGTGTTGCTAGAATTCTGAATTATGGCGACCCCAAAAAGACACACGGAAACGCACAAAGCAATAGCTAAATTATTCTGAGGTTTGTTTCTATACTCTTTATTAAAATGAAAATGTTTTATTGTAATTTATTAGACTTCAATAATTATAGTAACAATGTTTTTTTTTCTTTAGATACCAGATGATTTTGAAAACGGTTCATTTTTTAAATAATGGATAAACCTTTACATATTAAAAAGTGGGTAGTACCACGCAAATGTCTCCAAAGTTCTTGTTATTCACCACACAAGAGCCAGTTCACTGAATCTGCCAAAAAAGAAAAAATAGAAAACAAAAAAAGTTTTCTAAAAAGTTGACTGGCAAAAAAAATAACCTTCTACTATAAGTGTTTTTCGCCTCTATTTAATAAAAATACACCGAATCTTTAAGACGCAGCAACAATTTCTGACATCGCCCACTTCTTGCCTGCGATAAGAAGTCTGGAATATAGAGATAAACGCACTGCTTCTCGAAACCGCCGAAATGATCGCGGTGTGGCGTATGAGTCATAGAAAGGCAGTTCTCGATCTTTGTGGAAAGTCTAGAGTGTTCTAGTACAGAGTTGGCTTCATATAAATAGCGCGCGTTGCTGACGGACGGGGATTGATTTAAGTATTTGGTAGAAAAGATATTGTAATAAATAAATTAGAATTGCGCTTACGTATTAAATACATCAATAGTACGTCATAAATAAATTGTAAATAGTGCGTTTTAAATAAATAAACTATAAAAAAGTAAACCAACGCAACAATATATTAATTTTATCTCTTCTTTTATTTACAAGCTGTTCTTATAGCAACTAAAAAGGAACATATTTGTCATAGTTATGTCACAAAATTTTGTTCTGATTACATTTGAATCTTACGGTAATCAAAATGGCTTCTACATTTACTCCCAGTTAATGTGTAGACATATTGCGAACAAGAATTCCAGGACCATCTCATATGACATTTAGCAAAATTACGAACTGGTTTTTTCCTTCAAGTGTACCATGCACTTGCTAGAATTGAAGAAAATACAAAAGATATTTTGACATCGTAGCGATAAACCCTCATATGTTAGCAGAAAGGAAGCGTAGCAGGTAGGTAAGTACGATATAGTAGGGAAGAGTAGTAAGAGACATCCATAGAAGAAGACAGAAAAGAAAAAAAGTCTTAGCATAGCGCACATAAAAAAACTCTTATTCATTTTATTATAAAAAAAATTTAAATTTTTGCTCATCCCGAATTGAGATTAGAATTTTTAGAAAGTTGCAACACCACTTCATGCATTATTTATTTATTTATTTTTATTTATTTATTTTATTACAATATCCAACAGGGTTGTCCCTAATTATAGAATAAGGAATATTACAAGAATTGGGAATTAACATATGTGATTTTTCTTGTCTATATACATATATAAACTTAAATCTAAATAAACACGAATTTAAACAGACACGGGTGCATCCTGAAAAAAAAAACTTCTATAAGAAAAAAATGATGCATCCATTTCCGCCTTTAATAATTACTGCGTAAATTAATTTGACAGAACGATACTTCTAATAGATGCAACAGAGCAATTAAGAATATCTATATCATCTTCAATGTTCGAATAGTTTAGGATCATTTGAAATAAAGGCGATGCTTTGTATATGTTAGTTCTATGTGCTTGTTGATAAAATAGTTGATTTCTTCGGGAATTAACTCTAGGGACGTAAAACATTTCCAACCAAGAATCCACCTTGTTATTTAATAACTTAAACAGAAATATCACTGAGTGCATTGCTCTTCTTTTTAAAACACTACATGTATTGAAACGGCTTAAATAATAATTTTGAGGAAGTTCTTTTATGAGATAAGTACCATCACTTAAAAAACAAGCTGATTTAAAAAATCTTCGTTGAACTCTTTCCAAATGGTTAATGTGATTGAAGTATATCGGACTCCAAACGATACTGGCATATTCTAATTTTGACAGAACCAGCGAAGAGAAAAGTATTTTCATCGTTGAAAAGTCAATAAATAATCTCATATTCTTTATAACAAAACCTAAAATTCGATAAGCAGAAGCAGTTGTTTTTTCAATGTGCGATGTAAACGTTAATTTTGGATCAAAGAAAACTCCAAGATCTTTAATCAGTTCTGGTCGATTTAATGTAGAATTTTGTAGGTTATAATTATAGTATTGGTGCTTCCTTCCTAATAAATGTCATTACATTACATTTTTTAACATTTAACAGTAACTTATTTCTTTTGCACCGTTCGTTTAAGCGGTTAAGATTCTCATGAAGCAATAAACATCATTATAACTAGAGATTTCATAAAAAAAAATTAGATCATCGGCAAACAATAGATTTGTGATGCTCAAATTACAAACAATTCATTCATTGATTTATGTCCTAAGC